ACATATCTTTTTTCTTTCCATTCCTCTTTTTTTCTTTTTTTTTTTTAATCTTTTCTTAACTTCTCTTTTTTTTCTTCTCTATTCCTACCTTTCTCATTCTCTATTTTCATTTTGTCTTTCTTTCCTACTTTCTTACATTTTATCCCATATGCATCAGTATACAAATAAAATACATCTACCCGCCCAGCAGCCTGTGTCCACCAATCAGAGTGCGTGCTGGAGGTGACCAATAGACAGGCCAGCCGGGCCTTGAAGTGAGGAGAGTCATGCTGTAGCCGGGGACACCTGGCTGTGTTATCTCTGCTCACCTGGCCGGACTGAGGTTCTCCGGGCCGGACTTTGCCGTCTGTCTGTCTGTGTCGGTGTATCTGTGTCGTGTGTCTGCACTCCCATCCAGGACGATTCATGGAAAAGTCCAAGAATTTCCGGATTGACGCTCTGCTGGCCATCGACCGCCCCAAAGCTCAGACTTCCCCCCTGGCTCTGGTCACTTCTTTATCCTCGTCCTCTCTATCCACCTCGGGCAGCCCTCCTTCTGATCACCCCGACATGAGGACAGAGAGTCCGTCACCCCCCAGGACTTGTGGACTGGTACCCAAACCCGGCTTCCTGAGCAGCCACCAGCACCCTGGCAGTATGATGACCCTACACCCCCCGGGGGGTGCAGGTATCCCCCCTCCGGCTTTCTATGGGCACCCCATGTACAGCTACTCAGCAGCGGCTGCCCTGGCAGCGGGGCAACACCCAGCCCTGTCCTACCCCTACTCACAGATCCAGGGAGCCCACCATCTCCACCCTGTGGACCCCATAAAGATCAGTGCGGGCACCTTCCAGCTGGACCAATGGCTTCGAGCTTCCACCGCTGGCATGATGCTGCCCAAGATGGCAGACTTCAACGGTGAGTACCCCAACATTATCACTGCAGGGGAGGGGGTTCAGCCGTGCTAAAGATGGTGGAAGTGGCATGGATCTGGTCTAAACTATGAATGCCACTGTGCCATCCACCAGCTATGACTGATGGCAAAGCTGCCAACCTATAGAGAGATCTAAAATGTGATGTGTGGTATGTTACAAAGGAGGCTCAGCCCTCCAGTATAAAGTATTATATTGTCATATTTTTATTATACTATTACAACTATGATGATGATGATGATTATACTATTACCACTATGATATTAGTAGTAGTAGTAGTAGTAGTAATAGTAGTAGTAATAGTAGTAGTATTGCTATTATTATATTATTATTATTATTATTCGGACACCTGAATGCCATATAGGACAGGCACTAGATATCTAAACAAAAACTACACAGGATTTTACAAAATCGTCTAAAATTCGATTTCTGTCAAATTTTTGATGGCTAGAAAATGGGAATAATGAGGCTGATTTACTAAAGGAGTTCAAGTTGTGTGAATAGTCACCTCAGCTGTCTCAATTATTCAATCATGTGACAAGCAAACTCCTGTTTACTCATTTCATCTGTACAGGATTAGATAATGAAAGTGAATATTCCTACAATGTATTATGTGAAAATTCTCCACTCATATAGCAAATCAGTCCAAGTGTATTTGTATCAATAGTCACTGTACATTTATTTGTTTATTACTTTATTGCTACATGTATTTTAATAACACTGAAATAAATGAACACAGTACAATTAAATATAATTAAATATATGTACAATAGGTATTACAGATTAGCTTGCGCAGCTATAATTTGAATTTGTTAATCAATGTGTGTATATATATATTAGCGCACTGACATTCATACCCATGCTCTGTATGACATACTAGAACACAAGGAAGACTATTTCATTACGTCTGACGTCATTCCATTAGATTTCAGGTGCTTTTTAGTGTTGTTGTAGCTCTTTTCTCCATAATCTGTGAATTCCTTGCTGGACAGGCTTCCTCTGTCCATTCTGCTTATATTCAGCAGTCTATAACAGGCCATTTAGCGCTGTGTGTCAGCTGGTAATGTTTGTACTGGGAGATGTCACAGAGGTGAGAGATTCTGAAGACGGGCCAGTCATGTACTGTTCCCCTGCAGTCCATTCCCCTCCAGGCTGACATCCTGCCCAGTGACCACAAGACTGCTTTCCAGTGTCCAGGGGGTCACCAGCCAGGCTGTGCAGAACACATCACACACATTCATGGTAACATTGATGTTTAGTACTCCAAAAGATGAAAGCCCCCTTTAAATGTTGTTTCTATTCGTTTTATAATGGCAGATTTGTAATATGGGTTCCTCTTTTATTAATACAAGTGTGATTATATAGGGTATTATTTTATTATTAAAGGGATAATTATATGATCATTAATGGGTGATATGGATCCTTATTTTATTAATGGATAGATAACTGTGTGATGATATGTGTTCTTATCAATGAATACAAGAATAATTGGGTGATGATATGGGGTATTTTATTAATAAATGGATATATATATATATAAATGGATATATATATATATTAACCATTTAAATAAGAAACCATATATACCTGTAATTATCCATTTATTAATAAAATAATACCCCATATCATCACCCAATTATTCTTGTATTCATTGATATATATATAGGTTCTCTTTAATTAATACAAGAATAACTGGGTGATGATATGAGCTCTTATGTCATGAATATAAGGGACGCTGTATGATGACAGTTTTTCATTTTATTCAAATAAGGATTATATGGGTTTTTAATTTAGTAATTGAAGGATAACCATGTGATGATATGGGGTTTTGTTTTATTAATACAAGATTAACTGGTTCAATGTGGGTTCTTATTTGAATAACTGTGTGAGTTTACGGGAACTTATTTTATTAATACATGGATGGTTATTATGTATTTTTATTTTATTAGCATATGGATAACTGTGTGATAAATATATTTTATAAGTACATGGATAGCAGTGTGAAGGCTTCCAGGCTGTGAATACAATCATACAATCACACATTCATATAATACATAATTGCAGGAATAATTATAAGTCTTGTGTCCAGTTAATTTCCTGTGTTTTTATTTATATATATATAGTGTATACACATATACTGTCTCTTCTATTGCCCCTTGGAGGCCTCATGATAGAACATTACCACAGACCACCCGACTGCCTATTGCAGCGCTATGTATCATCCCTGATGTGACACTTAAGTCTATTGCTTTTAATTAAAGCTGTAATGTATGAAGGCAACTAAACGGGGGTGTGGGCAGTCCTTAGAGATAATTAGTCTTCCCTCGGAATAATATAAAATAACTATTATATTCTACTATAGATACTTTATTTTTAATCGGATTTTTCCTTTAAATCAATGCAGTGTATATATGATTGGAGATTCTCTAACATAATTTAAACGTCTATTTTATTTTTCCATGTTTATTCTTTATTTATAATCACTTTCCTGTACAATAAATACACGTTATATGGAAAGGTATTTGTACTATTCAGGCACATTATATTTCTTGGGATGCACAGGTTATTGTCTAGTTTTCCGTGTGTCATCTGCGCTGTCCCTTTATCTGGACAGATATTTGCAGTGATGAGTAAATACGATAAGCAGAAAAATCCAAGGATCCTTGGTAAAACAAACATCAGATAGTTTATCAGATAGAGGGGATTACATCTTGAAACAAGGCTCTAGCACTTATCGGGCTGATTACAAATCAAAGCTCTGTCACATTGCTCCCTTTCATGTTCTCTAATAACCCGCGGGCACATTCCGGCCGGCTGAACTGGGAGCTTCACAAACGCCACCAAACTCCCGGCTCAATATTGTCCTGTGTGTACTACACCTGGCAGGCACAAGCATTTCTCTATATCTGTTCAGGGTTTAATCTTTGTCGTATTGGAATTGGGTATATTTATATATATTTTACAATATTAGAATAGTATAGAGTTAGAATAGTAGCAATATAACATTGCAAATATTGGAATAGTGTCAGTATTGTTTTTTTTTTTACTTTGGTGGATACTATGTCTAATAATAATAGTAAAAATAAAATAATAATAATAATAATTATTATTATTATTACTAGTAGTAGTAGTAGTAGCAGCACTGCTGTTGTTGTTATTATTATTATTATTTTCTTCTTCTAATTATTATTATCATTATTATTACTAGTGTTATTGTTGTTGCAGTTTTTGCTCTTCTTCTCTCCTTGCTCATGTCTTCTCTGTGTGTTCCTTGTCCTCACAGCTCAGGCTCAGTCCAATCTGCTGGGGAAGTGTAGAAGACCGAGGACAGCCTTCACCAGCCAGCAGTTGTTGGAGTTGGAGCACCAGTTCAAGCTGAACAAATACCTCTCCAGACCGAAACGTTTCGAGGTGGCCACGTCGCTGATGCTCACAGAGACCCAGGTACATTCCGTTCGGTATCGTCTCCACACCTTCCTTCTATTCTGGTTAAAGAATGGCAGGGACGGTATTGTGTGCTGGGAAGCTGGTGTGTTCATTAGTAAATCGCCTCTTTACTGTCACCACTTAGCTATGAGGTCAGTCCTTACTACTATATAAATGTACATTTTAATTCCCATATTTAAGAGAGAAGGTGAGCTTGTACTATATGTTGTCATATGTGTGGCTGGCTGTCATTGGCTCTAGAAATGTCCCTGGAAAGGTCTTTGCTTTAATCAAGGTCCATGTAAATTATACAATTGTAACACTGAATTATTAAGGAATGTTCTCACATATGCTTGTTACTTTTCCCTATAGCAGAAAGTTCGCTGAAAATGATTTATTGTTCTGGAACCTGCACTGCGGGTGTGAGTATAGCCTGTCACCTGGACATGCTGGACCTTGTAGTTCCGCCCGTTTATTGGTTGTGTCGGCAGTAGACATACTTTAGGGAGCAGTTACTAATAGTAACTAATCAGATATTATTTATTATACTTAAATACGAAGACTGGCTGGTTACCATAGGTTATGTGACCTGTGCTTGGGGTTTCCATAACTCTGCCCAAAGGACACATGTAGCATATGTATGGAACTGGACGACCTATGGTGGGGATATGAATAAAGATCTGGATTTATAGAAAAGAATATAGATCCAGAGGAGCAGGGGGACACAGTGATATGATATCCGAGATGAGACAATGACAGCGAATGTTGTAATGGGGCCGATAGGAGTTCTTTTTATCCCTGTCAACTCAGTCAGACACAAGAGGACCTAATAAAACTAAGATTGCTCTTGATCTGGTTGTTGGAAATGAGCAGTGAACAAGGACTATAGCCTGGGAAAGACTGTAAATCAGACTCAGATGTTGTTGCATCCCTCTCCTGTTTAACAATAATAGAATGTGTCACTGAAGTCTTAGATGTGAGCTGAGAAGGGTCCAGAATAGTGTCAGCAGCCTGTAATATCTGATATATGACAAGACTGAGATACCTGCCTGTGTTCTAGAATTATAGAGAGGGGAGCTATAGATTACAGGTGCCTTTGGAGTGCCACATTACAGGTGGAATCATTCCTTGGGAGACATGATTTGCAATGGAAGCCATGCCTTGGGAGAACAAAGTTATAGGTGGAGCCATTACATAGAAAAAGTAGATTACAGGTAGACCTATGCCTTGGGAGTAAGAACTGACCCTTGCTTTGTGAAAACCTAATTACAAGCGAAACCATTCCTTGGAAGAATTAGATTACAGGTAGACGAATGAGTTGATAGTGATACATTAAAATTAGAGCTATCATTAGAAGAATGATATAACAAGTAGTCCCATGGCTGGGAAAACTAAGTTAGAGGTGGATACTTTCCTTGGAAGAATTATATAACAAGTAGACCCATGGTTGGGAGAACTGAGTTAGAGGGATACTTTCCCCGGAAGAATTATATAACAAGTAGACCCATGGCTGGGAGAACTAAGTTAGAGGTGGAGACTTTCCTTGGAAGAATGACATAACAAGTAGACCCATGGCTGGGAGAACTAAGTTAGAGGTGGAGACTTTCCTTGGAAGAATTATATAACAGGTAGATGCATGACTTGGAAGTGATACATTTAAATTGGCGCTATCATTGGAAGAATTAGATAACGAGTAGACACATGGCTTGGGAGAACTAACTACAGGTGGAGTCATTCCTTGAGAATTAGATTACAGGTAGACTTATGCATTGACAGAGCTACATTAAAGTTGGAGCTATCCTTGGAAGAATTAGATAACAAATAGACCCATGGTTGGGAGAACTACAGGGGAAACTCGAATAATTAGAATATCGTGCAAAAGTAATTGCAGTAAGTGCTGCAAAAGGGGCCCAAACCAAGTACTGAGTACATATGCATGCTTGTACTTTTCAGAGGTCCGATATTGTTCTATGTACAATCTTTGTTTTATTGATTGCATGTAATAATCTACTTTTTTGAGGTTGTGGATTTGGGGTTCTTGGGGTTTTCATGAGCTGTAAGCCATAATCATCACAATTATGACAAATCACGGCTTGAATTATCTTGCTTTGCATGTAATGAGTCTATCCCATATATTAGTTTCACCTTTTAAGTTGCATTAGTGAAATAAATGAACTTTGCACGATATTCTAATTATTCGAGTTTCACCTGTAAGTTAGAGGCTTCCCCTGGTGGAGACTTTAGAATTATATAACAAGTAGTCCCATGGCTGGGAGAACTGAGTTAGAGGTGGATACTTTCCTGGAAGAATGATATAACAAGTAGACCCATGGTTGAGAGAACTGAGTTAGAGGTATACTTTTCTTGGAAGAATTATATAACAAGTAGACCCATGGCTGGGGGAACCAAGTTAGAAGTGGAGACTTTCCTTGGAAGAATTATATAGCAGGTAGATAGATGCATGACTTGGAAGTGATATACATTTAAATTGGCGCTATCATTGGAAGAATTAGATAACAAGTAGACCCATGGCTAGGAGGACTAAGCTAGAGGTGGATACTTTTCTTTGAAGAATTAGATAACAAGTAGACACATGGCTAGGAGGACTAAGCTAGAGGTGGATACTTTTCTTTGAAGAATTAGATAACAAGTAGACACATGGCTTGGGAGAACTAACTACAGGTGGAGTCATTCTTTGAGAATTAGATTACAGGTAGACTTATGCATTGGCAGAGCTACATTAAAGTTGGAGCTATCCTTGGAAGAATTGGATAACAAATAGACCCATGGTTGGGAGAACTAAGTTAGAGGCTTCCCCTGGTGGAGACTTTCCTTAGAAGAATTAGCAAAAGGTATAGAGGAGCCACTTCTTGGCCCCTTGGCTCCATTAAAATGCAGGTCGACTCTCTGCCTTGGGACAACTAAATAAAGGTGGAGCCGTGCCTTGGAAGAATTACACTTCATGTCTTGTGAGAGCAGGTGGAGCAATTTCTCGGGGTGGGGGTGTCGGGGTTGCATTACAGATGGAGCCACTATTGGGAGAGTTGGGTTACAGGTGGAGGCATTTCTCAGGAGACCAAAGATTCCAATCTCCTTTATAACATTCAGTCCGGGGCAATATAACAGACCCCTTATCACACTCATTTTATTTTCCATCCTATTGTGTGTTTTATGTGAACAGCTGCTGGATACATCGGATCACACCTGGAGCTTTACATGGGCTCCTTCTAGGCTTCTATGGTCAAATAAAGAGCCATCTATCGCCCCTTCATACCTGTACAATATACAGAACTATAGAGCAAAGGAGTAAAGAGGATGTTGATTGATATTTATACTCATCGGTTTAACCAGCTAATATACTCAATAAATCGGTGGAATCCGGCACAGCGTGGAGGGTCTGCATGTAGTGAAATTATCGGGTTCGACTGCACACTGCTACCTCCCCTATTAAATACTGCACATAAAGACAAAGGAGGTGGATGTACTAAAGGAAAATACTTATCCACTTATTATGTAAACCCTAACAATGAACTTCATTTATTTGCTCCCCTTTAGTTTAATATGTCATGGAAGCGTTTGGTCACATCTATTTGATAAGTGCAACAAAAAGGACGCTCTTGTCAGAAATTCGAAGCTGTGCTGTGTCCCTATACTCTTCCTGTATAATCTCAAGGCTAATTATTCCAAAAGTTCTTTAGAATAATCAGCCTTTATGTTGTAGAGATCTGAAAGTGGGAGTGGTTGTGTAGTTTAGCAAAAGAAACTGGGCAGGGCTGACAACACATCAGGATTTAGGAGCAGATTGAATCTCTAGCAAATCAATAGCTATTTTTCTATATTTGTAGTGTCATTAAAGAGATACAACATATATACATGTGCAGATATAACTTATATACATGTGCAAGTATTGTGTACTGCACATGTTCTTTTTATTTTTTATTTTGCCATGACATACGCTTTAATTAACTGAATGCCTTCATAGTGAATAATGTGAAGCTGTGCTCACCTGGAATACAATCATGTGATTGGGAAATTAAAATATAATGATTTTTCATTGGATGATTGAAGTAAATGCAACGTTAACTGCTGAGAATATTCACTGCAAAGGAAAACAGTCTGACACCTTAGAAAATCAACCGTATAGTATAGATGCATCGCATTGGCTGATAAATAATGCATCCTGTAAAAATGTAAACTCTATCTATCTATCTATCTATCTATCTATCTATCTATCTATCTATCTATCTATCTATCTAAATATATATATATATGTAAGGTGTTGCATGATGACTAAATTGGATAAATAATGGCATATTTAGTCAGTAACATATTGATTGCAAATATCAAATCATAAATGGACTTTCACTGGTTGCACCAGCACTTTATTCTGATCGGTCTGGGCTATGACTTCTTTATTGGTTAGTACTGGTATTCCTCTCCTTATTTTTGTTTTTCTTGCTCATACCGACACAAGACAGCACAGATCTTGCTTCCAGTAATCCCAGCTATCTGGAGATCTATTAATACATAGCAGTGTGTGCAGCGCTAGATGCATTACATTACACTGACCCCCCTCCCTGCAGCTGCAAAACGTTATATATAATAAACCTGGTTCTGTGTGCTGTCCATAATACAGATGTCAGTGAGTGAACATATAGGACTGACAGGCTTCTTGTCTGCTGACAATGGGGGACGATCTCTATGGAGGGACCCATGCCCACGCACCTCCTGCACACCTGAGGATCGGGAGCCTCTTCTTGCCTTTGTCTCTTTCAGCTATTTTCTGTCATTTACATCGTATACTCATTTGAAGTTGAAAGATGTTTAGTAGATTGTATCAAGTTGCAGAAATAATTTAAAAAAGATACTTTGTAATACAGAGGGGGGAAAAATACATTGTACAAAACATCAGTTTCTGGGGCTGTCTCTAAACTGATTATTGCCTGAAAACCTTAAATGAAACAAATTATAATCAGTGTCACAACTGTTTCTGAGATCGCCTGCCTATATAGAACCGG